CATTCAAGTCACTACTGTACTACTGTATTAAAAATATTAAATAGTAGAAGATCACAAACCATCTCAAATAGGACACCTGCTTTCATAAAACATACATTTAATTTTCAGTTCCTTTGATTCCATCCCAACTACTAGTTCAGTTCTTAACTGACTTCACATTTATTTTGGATTGAAACAGAACATTTGGGAAAAATATTTTTCTCCAAAGAACACTGTCAATATCAGTCTACCTACCGTATTATGTAAAGAAAAATACCTAATTCAGCTATCAGATATATTTTACGTTGTAGTAAAAAGGAATGACAATGATTCAATACAAGAAGATGAATTTTCTCTGAACATAACTATAAATATTTCTAAAGCAGTTTTCTTCTATTAGTAAATCAATAGTAATAGCACTAGCACTCAGATTTATATACCACCCCATAGTGTTTTACAGCACTCTCTGGGTAGTTTACAACTCAGCATATAGCCCCTAACAATCTAGGTCCACATTTTACCGACCTTGGAAAGATGAAAGGCTAACTTGAGTCCTGTCAGACTGTCAGAATTCCAGACTGTGGGCAGACTTTGCATGCAATACTGCATTCTAACCACTGCACCACCAGGGCTCAATAAGAAATAATCACACTTCTATAAAAACTGTGTATTGTATTGCACTTTCTCCAGTGTTTCTACAGGAATAAAATAGGTTAATGTAGTAATGTAGAGCAGTATCAAATAAAATATGAGATATAGCTATAATCAACAATTCATCTTCATATATGCATATTTCAGGATCAAAGTGATACAAAATGTTTGTCCTACAATTAACTATGAATCATCTGGCTTGTGCTTAAGAAATACTGAAGTATTCAGACCTTTAATTATGTTACAAAAATTTTGTACTTGGAAATTAACTGTTCCTTTATGTCTATCTACACATTTTTTCAGCGCTACTTTTACCTTGCAGCAATTTCCATAGAAACAGTGATTTCTATAGCTCTGTATCAGGCAGCCCTAAACAAATAGATGTTGCTAAATTACTTCATTGCATTCACTAAAGGCTGGCATGTCACCGAAAGTACTCCTGAAAGCATGCATTGATTTCATATTATTCAATGAGTGAATTTCTTCGTGCACTATAACCACTCCCTTCTGCTTGCATTCTATGTGGAATCTTTTTCCTCACATTACAATAAATTGGCCTGAGTTGATTTTATGCAAATGTTTTTAAAGCATACCGTATTTTCTGGCATATAAGATGACTTTCTAAAGCACGGAAATCGGTGCCAAAGTTGGGGGTCGTCTTATACGCCAAGTCGTCTTATACACCGGAAATTACGGTAGTTTCCAGCGGATAAGATGACTTTCTAGGCATGGAAATCAGCGCCAAAGTCGGGGTCGTCTTATACCCTGGGTCGCCTTATACACTGGAAAACACGGTAAATAAATTACAGTTGAAGCTCTTTAATTCATAATATATTGTTTCTGGCTAAATTCAATGAATGTATGTTCTGCAGCCTTTCATTTTAACAACAATCAGAAACATAGATGTAATCTGTACATGCTCATCATTCACATATTTTAAAGCTGTTGCCAAGTTGGTCTTCTAAGGACAATTCACTATCAGGCACTGTACAATAAAGGACAAAGCAAAAACTATTTAGAAGAGTGTCAGACAATGCATGTCTCCCCAAGATCCAGTGGTGGGATTCAGCCGGTTCGCACACTTCAGCAGAACCGGTAGCTAATTTTATGTTGCCCAGGCCCAGAATGGACTTCCAGAAGCAGCATCCACACAGAGAACCGGTTGTTCACATATTTGAATCCCACCACTGCCAAGGTCTATATTTAGTTTCCTGCTTTGAAGGTCATGAAGCTATCTATATTTACAAAGCAAAAAACTCTGTCAAATATTGTAGAAAAAGAGTTTGCTATTAGACCCTACTGTGTGCTGTCACCTGTTATCTGACTTTATTAATATCTATATGCTGCAATTCTTACACATGACATTTGATAAATAACAACAACAGAGTCCATGGCTTTGGAAAGTACAATATAATATCTTTTATAACTTGGCGCCTTTTCAAATTTGCTGCCAGCCAAGAATAATAGGGAATTGATCTGAGAAAAATCACTATTACAAGGGCATAATTGCACAATTTATACTTAATAACCAACAATCGCACAGATTAACAATGGAGACACCATATGAGTGTATTTACACGGAAAAATCAGCCAAATATGACACAATCCATGGAAAAGATATTTAGCGTATATCTGGTGCTAGACAATACTATAAAATGATGCCAGTCCTGACTTGTTAGTTTGCAGATAGCTTAGCTGATATTCCAGTAACTTTAACCTTGGTTTAATCAAAGCAAATTTAAATTTAAAGAGACATGAAAAAAAATGAAGCACCATAGACAGTATGGGAAAAGACTTCTCTTTCCCAAGCTCTGCAGTGTACCTATTTAATGCTATTGCATGCAGGTACATACACATGTTCTAATATAAAAGCATTTTCCAGCCCCTTTAATGATGTCAAGAAACTAGATTTCCAAAAACTAGAAAAAGCCTTGAAGAAACTGAGGAAAGTTCTTTTGTCACAAACCGGAAATTTCTGTGATTAACCATTGTCACAAATTTACTTTCTATAACACACTTTAACCAAGTTTAGCATGCCCTCAATGTAACCTATTATTTGAGGACAAAACAAAAAATTATAAATCACTTGAAATTAAACTATTCAAATTAATCATTTGAAAGTAATGAATTGTTGAGCATTTCAAAGAAGGTGGTTAAGTTATCCTAAGATCACAGAGAAGAAATTGCTTATACTGACTAATAGAGCAAAAGGAACAAGGGAAATGTAGGTTCTTGACTTTAGGAAAGCAATTTAATCTGTCAAAAACAAAAAGTATGGGTATTCTTTTCCAGCCATTACTTCCTCAAGGCTATTAACTACACAATAGTTTAAATCTCTTTGTTTAACTGCACAATAAAAGCTTCCAACCAGTCAAAGCACATTGGCTAAAAAATTAGTATATGACTCATTCCCAATCTCCTTTGCTCTTTTATTCCATACAACAGCTTTGTGTACTTATAGATTGTGTACTTATAGATTAGCTGGCATTCCAAAAGCAGTCTTTTTTATTGCACGATGTGGTATAGCAGAACAGGTGCCAGAGTTGTCACCCACAAATTTCTGCTCCTAGATAGATGTAACTTAGTAATAAAGGAAAATCACAATAACTCTAAAAATTCTAATAAAAGTAGATTCTTTGGAGAAAATGGTACTGAGAAATACGATTTCCCTTGAATATGAGCTGGGGGTAGGAGAGAATACTAGTATAAGTTAGTTTTTCGTGTTATTATCATTTCAAGTTAATAGTGGCTCTTTGTTCGACTGACAGTGAATCTATGAATTCAAGATTGGTGTGGAACATCTCTCCAAAAATTAATAGATCTTGCAGTTTCAGGCTGAATGTGTTATAAGTGATCTACTTCAAAAACAAAAATAGCAGGAGACACTTAAGATACCCTTATATGTACTGAGGTTAGACCAGATTCTAACAGATTGGATTATTTCAACACTGTTCAGAAAAAGCCTCACGGTAGGTAAAAACTATTTGTCATGAGTTATCTTCAAGACACATTGTGATCTACTGTCCACAAAGAGGCAGTGGAACGTGACTAGAAAGTTATGTACAGATTTATAGAATTTCTCTGTGTCTCCTCTATTATTCTGCCTGTTCTCTAAGAAATTGCTAACATAATAATTTATTAAACTTGTATGCCACCTGATTTTCAATGAATCTGGGTAGCTCACAATTACATCAAACCAATAAAACATAAAAAGATAAAAACTGATAAGAACGATGCAACCAGGGTCTCACTCCTCATTGACTAAGGCCTAAATGAAGAGCTATTTAATGCCATTTCCTTTTGCTTTTCTTTCTAGGCACATATGAAGAACATGTTCTGTTGGACTCTTATCATACATGCTGTAACTAGTAGATAGATTTTGCCTGTCCCTATAAGTTGAATAAATTATATATTTTTATTTCCTTTCTATAAAATTATAAAATTGCTTTGCTAATCCTTTGTCTTATCCTGGAAAAAACTGTCTATGTGATTGCTAAGGATTGACTTGATGGCACATAATCATAATCTTTGTTTGGATTTAATTCACACTCTCAGTAATGATGTAAACACACCCAATGCTTCAATCTCCATCCAAGAAGTAAGTTGAGTGAGTGCAGTGATTTGAAACAGGCTTAAATTCCAAGTACTTTCTCACTGGCTCAAAGATAAATTAATAGCACTTCAAATCGGCAGGGGCCCAATGTCCATAGTAGCAATAAATAAATATGTGGGAAGTCAGCCCTCCCCAGAGAAGGAAATATTAAAAAGGCAGAATATATTTCCTCACAGAATCTTAAAAAGGCAGAAAAGCATGCCCAGTTTTTCTTAATAGCCCCAACTCTTCCTCACCCAAACAAAAACCAGCCTCTGTAGAAATGCAGATATCATAATCCATTCAAGAATGTTGGAGCCAGGAAGCTGGAGCTGATGTGATTAAAAAGACAAAGATCCCTAGAATCAACAACCTCTCACCCCCCAAAAACCCAATACAGGACATAGCCATCAGCCACAGCCCGGGGAGACAGGTTATAACCTTTAGGACATAATAGGATTAACCCAGCACCATCAGAATACCAGAAAGGCATACTCAGAGTCAGGTCAAAGTACATGACACAGGAAATACAAAGCCTCAAACAGGAACAACTCCAAACACAAAAGCCCAGGAAGGTATAAAAACCTACCACTCCCAGCAACAAGTGGTCAGCTTTCCCAGAGCGGTGCTTCTGTCTGACTTTGCTCTTCAATAAACTACACCTTCTTTCTAAAGCAGTCTCCATTTTGTTTATTGCCAGCTTGGACTGGACCAATGAAGACTTTTCTTTTAACAAATAAATAAATATAAAAAAATTAATAGGGCCAGCTTGGTTTACCTGTTAAGGCAGGGATCCTCAACCTGTGGGCCATAAGGGGATTGCAACTGGACCCTGGAAATGGCCTGCGAGTGCACTCATGAACATCCCCACTTGCACAAGCAATGGGCAAGTGTGTGCCCACAAGCTCCATTTGACTAGAAACCAAGAAACAGTGAGTTCTAGTCCCACTTTAGACATGAAAGCCAGCTGAGTCACTTTGGGCCAATCATTCTCAGCCCAACCACTTCACAAAGTGATTGTTGTGGTAAAGAAATAGGAAGATGTATTAGGCATATTCACCACCTTGAGTTGTTTATAAAAGTGGTAAAAGATGGCTATGAATGAATGAATAAGTAAAAATAAAATATGCTATGTTGATTCCTTCAGTAAGTAAATCAAGATAAAAAATTGCGGAGGTGAGTTTTTGGTTTCTATCCTCCTTATATTAGATCTGTTGCCATACTGTTAACTTTATAGTCTTCTTCCACCAAAGGTTCTACAGTATTAACGAGTGGGAGTGGGGCTTTACTCTCCAAAGGTAACATTATGTTGTTTGTTCTAGCAAGAATAGAAAAACAAACATTTGAACAGACTATACACCTCGGTCCTTTCCTTTTTGTTCGCATTAAAGGTACTCTTTTTGCTTTTATTTTAAAATACTGAACAGTCTGTTCACCACGGTTGCTTTCTCACCCATTTTTGAATAACCAAACAAATAACCGTTTTTTCTCCAATACCCTAGCTAGGCATTGGGACAGAACTCAAAACTGAACTCTTGGTAGTTATTAGAGCTACAATACTTCGGCTATAAAAAATCGATCTCTTTCCTCCCAAAAGCGATCGAGCCGACTTTTGCAGCCCAGATAAGGAAGCCTTAAATAACGGTCACTGGGGGGGGAGGGGAATTTGAAAGACCCTGGAATGAAGACAGCAAAATCATTCCCGACTGTTCAGGCGACCAATTAACTCCTTCGGCCCCTCTTTTTTATTTCTCGTTAGCCACGTGCTGCCTCGGACACAGAAGGGCGGAACAGGATTGGCCCTTTCTTCCTTCAAAAGACGACCCGCCCCTCTCTTTACCCGCTTATTTCTCCGCAGGCGTGGTGCGAAATGGCGAGCCGTAGAGGATCGCGCAACGCCTATTATTACTTCGTGCTGGAGAAGCTGCCGGAACTGAAGCGGCAGGGCCTGACTGTGACTAGCGTCGCTAGCGCCATTCCGTATTGCTCCGATGCCTGGGCGGTGAGGGAGCACCGGGGACCTGAAGAGAGAGTCTTGGAAATGGCCACCCCTTCAAGTTGAAAAGACCTGATATTTCCTTATTCGTTATTTATAGCGTCTTATAACGTAGTCCGACCGTTCCTAGTATAATACTAGGAAATCTTTTATCTCGCCACTACGATTCTTTGGATAACGCTAGAAGATGCGTTAAAGTGAGGCAATGGAAGGTTGCAGAGTTAAGAAATAAAGCCATCAGATCTGGAGGGCAAAAATCAAGCCGATGGTTATGTCGGTTTCTTTTAGATTTTTGCAACTGAGATCTGGTAGCCATAGTTACAGGTCTTTCTGAAATGGGGCTTCGTGCTCATTGCTAAAAAAAGGCTTCTTCCTAAATTTAAGACATTTTTGTTCTTTGCTGCTTTCCAAACCTTGCTGAGGAAAGCTGCAAAATGTGAACACCTGCTTAAACTCTTTACAACAGAATTGATCTGAGTAAACTTTCCCAAGCACTGTAATTCCTGGTATTTAGCCATATTGATGGGACTGGCAAATTTGCTTTCTGACCTAAGCAAGATTTGCTTTCCAAATATTCCTGCATTGCTAGAATGCTTAATGTTAGCAATAGTAATTTCACTATTATAAAATAGAATTTTATTTTGTTAGATTTTTATCCTACATTATTTTATCGGAAGCTCAAGGCAGCAAACAAACCTAATACACCTCCCTGTTCCTATTTTTCCCCAAAGAAACTATCCTGAGAGGTGAATTGGGTTGAAAAAGTGAGACTCTGCCCATAATCATTTCATGCCTAAGGAAAACTCCTGTTTTCTAGGCAGCACAACTGTACATAAATTGTTTCCTACCTCAGTTTTTGGATGTAGAAAAAAGATGCATTACTTTTAAAATAATTCTTAGAATGATGTTTCAGCCTTTCACTGACAGTATTGAGAATAATGTGGGTTAACCTATTACATAACACTTGGGAAAGAGCACCATATGGAAGTTACTGGACTTAATCTAACATTTGACTAGACTGAAAGTTAGCATGTTTTACTTTCCCAAATAAGTACTGCCCAAAACCTGTTGGATTAAGTCAGTGGATGATTTGGCAGAAAACATTAATAGATAACGCAAGGCTTTTTAATTGTTTTTTTACTCCTAAGATGCTTAATGAAGAGCAAAAAGAAAAGTATGCAGAAATGGCTCGTCAGTGGAAAGCTACCAAGTCAGAAGTAGTAGTAGAAAAGGTAAATAGAAGAATGAAATATGTAAAGCCTGTAAATATGCTTATTTTCAAGCACAGCTGAGTTTAAATTGGAGAATAAATAATAAAAATTATCTGTAGGTATTTAGAGAAAGATATTGAGTGAAGGTTTTTGTTGGATGGATTCTGCATTTTTTCCCATGTTTGTAATGGAGAGCAGATTAGCCTAGATTCATCTCAGTAGATTGAATTTTATAAAAATATGAAGATAACTACAGTGGTTATTTAGCAGCCTATGATTATGTGCTATCAAATTGTTTTTGATGCCTGACAACCATATATATTTTTTTATGATTATCCATAACCTTTTTTTTTCAAGTCTCCCAAATAATGCACCTGTTGCCACTGTGATGGAGTCTATATCTACCTTGCTGCTTATAATTTTCTTTCCACTTTTCCCATTATTAGAGCCTTAATGTCATATTTATGCATTGAATTTTTTCCTTGCTACTCTATTAAAAATAGAAGGGAAGTTTCAATAGCAAGGTTTCTAGTAATGTTTGGAAATATGTGATATAATTACTTCTAGGCCCTGCAAGGATATTCAGAATTACAAGAATAGAAGGAAAAATGTAAAAGTAGAGGTATTACTGTCCTTCCATTCCTAAAGACTTTTTTTGCTCAACTGTGGAAAGGCAAATGGCATGGCTCCTATTCTGATAACATACAGATGTATGTGTAGCTTAAAGCAATGTTTCTAGAAACTTAATTTATTTTAGTGAGTTGCCTAGCATTCTTGATAGTGTTAGCCCTGCTGCGTTTGCATGAAGATATTATAAACAGATATACGCATAATAAATTCAATAATGCTGTTACTATTGCATTCACATATACATGTATACAACTACACATTTACATGAATGACAATTCCATATACCAGTAGTTCTTGATTTATGGCCATAACAGAGCCTGCTTGTTAACAGTCACAAGTCATGATGGTTGTTAAGTCAGGTGCCCATGTGATCACTTAATGACTTCAGTTCCTGCTCTCTTTATGGTTATTAAGCGAATATGTGGGCTGTTAAAAGGAGCATGCGGTGCCTCCGGTGAGGTTTAACTCAGTATCCCATTACAGTACCTCCTCAACTCATATATGGCCTCCTAGGCCTCACCTACCCTCTGAAACACCCCGTGTTCTGCTTGGGTCTGATTTCCTTCCCCATTGAGTCCCCACAGGCCTTGGGCCTGCTTCTCACCTTACTGGATCTAGCTGCAATGAATTATGACCACTCCTAAACGGTGCCCATTTCAGGACTGTGCCCCATGACCTCTGTACTACATAGGGAGGCCAAGGGATGGAGTAGCCAGCTCTCCATTCCAAAGTCAAATCTCCTGAATTTTCCAAAATGGCACCGACTTCTGCAATTGTGTCAAGCAGCCTCCGTGCAGGAAGACTACACAATTCCTGCCTGAAGGGATTGTACAGAGGAAAAAAATGCCCAAACAGGCCCAAGATGGGATGGAGAAAGATAGACAATCTGCAGTCATAAGGATGGGTGAATTGCCAAATACCTGAATTTTGCTCATGTGACTGTGAGGGTGTTACAGCAGCTGTAACTTCAGGCAGAGGTCATACATCCTTTCATTTGGTGCTATCATAAATTAGAACCATCGCTGAACAAATGTTCGTTAAGTAGAGGATTTTCTTATAGTTCTGTGTGGTATGTATCATGGCATAAGCTCATTCACAGGTTTCTATGTATATTGTCAAATCAAACATAGCATTGTGCCTAGAAAGGAACATTCTAGATATGTTTTTTCTTGATTTGGTAAATATTGAATGAACAATTATTTTTTTTAGCCACCTAGAGAAGTCCCAGTACCGTTTCCTACTCAAAGTCAGGATACGATTCCTGTTACAAACCTTACAAGTCCATTTAAGTATGAACAAGGTAAAGTATAGCTTAAAGACAACCCATCTCTTGAGCAGTTTAGTCTAAATATTTTGTGAATGGGGTAGGAGTCAAGTGATGATATATGTATCAGGAGAAGTCCCAAGGAAACAGTAGGAAAAATTATAAAAATGAAATGTATATGAAGTAAGGCCTTAATACTGTCCAGGAAATGTAGCAGCATGCAACGAATGAAAAGGGCCTGATTATAGGATAGGTCAAGTAAAGCTATTGAGCTGATGAGATAATCACTACTAAATGAATTGGAACAAATGGTAATTAGTATTGGAATAAGTTATTTTGACCTTGTGTTTTTGTTTACATTGGTAACTGCTTAATCCTTATTTTATGAGTTGACATTAATTCCATGAACTATTTTTAATTATAAATCATTTCATGTTATTTGTGGTTTTGTATTGTTTTGTTTTAACATTTAAATGTTTCAAGAATTTTAATAAAAGCAGAGATTGAGAAACAATATGAAATGTAACTTTAATAGTTAGGCCAATAAACCAGGATTTTAGTCAATGAAATGCAGACAATATTCAGTTTTCTAGGGTGAAAGCTAGAATCCTATATTAGGTATTTAAAATGCTTTTAAACATACCAAATATTTATTGTTATTTATTAAATTTTTGAGCCTCCCATGTCATCTAGAAGCAATATACATTTATATATACATACATACATACATACATACATACATACATACATACATACATATATATATATCTCACATAAAATATATTGCTAATTTGATTTAAATAATTTTTTCCAGTTGTGCTCGAAACTCCGTTCTACTTTCTGAATATCTTCAGTCATGGAGTGTTGCCCCCTCACTGTAGTCAGCGTTTCCTCCCTTGTGAAATTGGGTGTATCAGATATTCACTTAAGGATGGCATAATTGCAGAATTGCATCATTTTATAAATCCTGGTGAGTGTTGAAAAAAGGAGAGAATGAATTTGTTCTGATTCATCTGAAAGTAGAAGGGGCATAGAGATTTAGTTCTAGTCTAAAAGAAATAGGTTTCAGTTTGTTCAAGCAATCTGGTTTAGTAACTCCTGCATACTGAAAAAATAAAAATTGTAATGGCCAAAACTCTTTGACAATATTATTCTGACTAATTGATCATGATCAAATAAATATTATATCTCCAGAAAAAAAAGTGTCTTGTCAGTGCAAACTTCCTATGATCTTTATTTTTTTATTTTTTAAAATTTGGCTAATGTCTTGGAAGAGAAGTACAGGTAATTCTCATTCAGTGACCATAAGAAGTTGGCACTGAATGTGAAGGGACAGTAAATTATAGGTATTTGGGTAACAATTTAGCTATCCTACAAAGTTAATATATTTTGTTTGATTTTGGTGTTCTGCAGGAGAAGTACCACGAGGTTTTCGGTTTCATTGCCAGGCTGCAGGTGAGTATTGCACAAAAGCTGAAGCAAAGAATTAGTCAAGAAATTTGAATAAATTTTTACTCATTTTTTTCCTCATTGCAGTTGGGTATTATATCCGATTTTCTGAAACATTTGATTTTACCTGTATAATTTATTCAGTGTAGCATGCCATTGTTAAGAAACGTCAGCAACCTCACAATTATATACCTTTTTTAAAGCTTTCATTTAGTTTTTTTTAGCTCTCATTGTGGTACTTGTATTATCTGATCTACAGAATTGATTGAACATTTAATATTACATTTTTTCGTAAAATTCAAGCTAGAATTTTCCCCTAAATGATAAAGCAAACTGTGTTTATGGGTAGTACTTTAAATCAATAATATAGCAGAGTTCAAATGATGTTATTTCAAAAAGATGCCTTATATAGGGACATTTTATTGTACGTTTATGACAAACATTTTTACTTGTCTATGAGACTAGTTTTGTTCTTATTGAATATTTTAATAAAAATCAAATGGTTAAGATATTTGAGCTTTGATCATAGAGCTGATATATAGAACTTATAATCTATAAGTATGCTTAAGATTAGAATATGTATGAATGATACTTTGCATCTTAAAATATTTCAAATATTCCTTTAGGTGATGCTACTCATAAAATTCCCATATCTGGATTTGATATTACAACTGCAAGTTACTCAGTTGTGTTGCATGACCTATACGCGTTCATCAAACCACAAAGGGGCAACTGGCCATCTGTATATTGTAAGGTACATTGACTTGACATTCAAATTTCTGAGAAGTAAATAAGAATATCCATCCAAATATGTTTTCACATAGAGGAATTCATCCACAGTGATAAAGCCTTTTGCTTACATTAATTAATTAAAAGGCATTTGTTAAGCTCATCTAATCTGAGCTTTCAGAGTTAAAAAAAGTTCTTGGCTGTTTTGTTCCTCAAACATTTAAGAGTAGAGAGGTGTCTGATGTTTCTACCATTATTTAAGTATTCTAATCCTTGTTAACTTCATGTAAACCAAGGTCAAAGTTTGAGCACTACATCTCCAACATTTGACCCACTATTAAAAGATTCACGTAGGTATCAAAATCATTTCCATTTAAGTTCATGTGCTATCTATCCAACTGTCTGCCTGTCTGTTTATATTTTACATTTCTCAACTGTCCATCTTCCTCAAAGAGGGAGTCTGGGCAATGTACAATAAAGTATCAAAATATAGAACACTATAAAAATTGAAATGTTAAGTTAAAATTTTAAAATTAAAAAAATTCAAAGAGGCAAAAATAATTAAATCTTGTTAAAAATTAGTTGACAAAGGCATAGGAAGGCAATCATTCTAATAACTTATTCCTTGGTTTTGAATACTTAGTTTGTGTAATACATTGGTAGTTTATAAATTTCTATTATGTTGTACATAATTATTTGTATTTATTGTTGTTTGGAGATTTGGGGGCTGTTGATCCATATGTGCAGAATGCATCAAATGGCATTTTAGCTAATCTTAATGTGAAGATGATCTAATTAAGTAAATTGCAGCCATAATAGATTTAAGACATTTCAAGAGAAAGCAAGTTCTTCTGTTTCTCTTCAGTATCTACGTAAATAGATATTTAATTCCAAATTTTTATTTTTGTAGTCTGATGATCTCTTCAGAGTTAACTGGTGCCTAAAATATATGGCTAAAGAAACAGGTAAGAAACTGCTACCTTTATAATAGAGAAAATATTGTTACACATATCTTTTAATAGCCTTGATGTTAAAACTTATTTTCTTAATAGGCACAGTCAATCATCTAAAGCTTTTAAATGTGGAGGATCTTGTTGTGGAACTGTATCATCAGAAACTTCAAAAAGAACCTTCTAAAACTTGGGTGTGTAACACACTGGATGCCTCCATGTGGGATTACTCAGGAAATACTAGGTATATTTTCTAATCTTCTCCCTTTTTTTTCACATTCTGAAAAAGCCATAAATTTGCGCTTCTCTCTTGCATGCTTTATCTACTCTAAATAACATTTTTTTTTCAAATTACACCTTAATATGGTTTTGATCACTCTTTACCTTACTGCATAATGTTCATAGAAATAATTATTTCAGTTTGTATCTTGAAACTCTCAGAATATACAAGACCATTAGCAGGGGAATAGAGTACTTTTAAAATTATGAAGGGATGCATTATTCCTGTGAACGGTGAGGGAAAAAAATCTTCAAGTAATTGAATTTAATACTTGATGGTTAAGATTCCCAAAGATACCACGCTGATACTGTATATAATTGTTTTGCCACCACATGCATTTATGACTGTTCCAGAACCCCACATTTATTTCCTCCTCTGCCCATTTCAGTTACACCTTCCCACCTATTCCTCCCCCTCCCCATATTTCTGTCTTTTTGGCTACCCTACACAGCATGATTGAGATGAAAAATCCATTGTCTTCTACTGTTGCCCTCTCTGTTCCCAGCTTACATTTGCTGTTGTCTTTGTTTTGCCTGTCCTCCACTGGACTCACTGATACCAACCAGCCTCAAGATCTACTGCATGGGGCCTCTGTCAGCCATGCTCTCTGCAGGGTGTCCCTCACCAGTGCCTCCCTAACTGCCAGGCTCCTGGTGGACTTATCCTACTTCAGCAGTTTTTGCTCCTTGCAAAAATACCCCCTTCTTGCTATTCGGTGGAAGGCTCACCCAGGCCAGCAAGTGGCATGGAGAACTTGCAGCCCTGTCCAGGTGGGCAGCAGGATCCAGAGAGCTACTCTTTAGATAGCTTCCTCTTTTGTGCAGGACAGCAATAGAATTTTATGCAGAGCATTTAGAGTCCTCTCTAGGCCAGTGACAGGCTGAGATTGCTGGTGTCTGGCAGGTCTACCAGAAGCTCTGCAGCTAAGGTGATGGGGTGTGGGGGAAATGAATCTAGTGCCAACAGAGTCACTGCCCACTCTGTGACAGCTGTCAGAGTGCAGTAGAGGAGAGGTGAGGCAAAGAAGACAAGGGTTAGTTGGGGCGATGGGGAACAGCAGCAGCAGGCAGGTGGTAGAATATGATGCCTACCATCTTATCCATGCTGGGCAAGTACATCAAAATAACAGAGATGGGGGAGGAGATAGGTTGGTGGAAGAGTTGAAGTGGAGAGGCAGTTCATCTAGGGCAGGAAAAATGTTAGATCCTTGCCTAACAACTACATTCTGGGCTCCTATCACTAAGTAGCCCACTTGTGATGTTTTGTTTAACTGTGTTGCTTAGTGACAGAAATTAGGGTTGTAACCCAAGAACTACCTGTATTCCATGACTAGAATTGGATAAAAATGTATAATAACCTAAGTACATTACGTAAATCTTGAGCAAAAGCACAAAGTCGTCTCTTTGAGGCAGTGCTTCTGGAATCTGGGAAAATTACCCCAAATTGGGTAAAAATATTTTTTCTTTAGGTACCAACAAACCTATTATGCCTCATAACAGGCATATTTAAATTGACTTGCCAAGTGCACTAAATTAGAACATCTCCCAAAGTATTCTTATTAAGATGAAAATCAATGAAATTATCAAGGATAATTTGTTGAAACAACGTAAAGATCATTCAGCAATGTTGTTTTTAATGATACAGGTTATCCTCAAGTTAACATTCATTTAGTAACCGTTCAGAGTTATTACGGTTCTCAGAAAGGACTTACGATCAGTTTTTGAAGTGTGATAGGACTTTCTGATAAATGATTTTGGGTAATGAAAGAAAAAGTTTGGAAAGCACTGGTTTAAGGGATTTAACAAAATAGTCAAAACAAGAAGTATAATGTTTAATCTGTTAAACAGTTGCCAAAAGTTTTATATTTATACATAGAGTGAACAGCTAATAATTACTGTGGGAGTGATTTTAGTTATTTTTTTCAATAGAACTATAATACTTAGATATTGTGTATGTGTAAAATATGTACACATGTATATTTTAAATTTACCTTTTTAGCAAGTTTTATATTTTGATGCAGAAAAAAATAAGATTAACCTAAGTAGATTTGATTTTAGTCTTCTAGCTAAAATAGACCTAGACTTTTGAGATGCTTTTGAAAATGTTTAAAAATCTTGAACTATTTAAATAGAAAATTGCAAGAGCACCTGTACTTAGTGTTGGTTCCCATGCATTAGCTCAACATTATTCATTTTTTTAACATTCCAAATTCTGTCTAATTGTTGCAATATGTATTTGAAATTCTGGATTCATTATAAAAATATGGTTTATATTTAGGTGTCAGTGGCACGAAAAAAATGATATTGTATTTTGTGCTCTTGCTACATGCAAGAAAATTGCGTAAGTATACATTTTTATTTTACTTTGTATAAAGTTTTTGCACTTTGGTTAAAAATAAAAAGCTTTTTGGTATAATGGTTAACAAGAAGTGAGAAACTGAAAGACTGACTTCTAGGGCCACCTTAAACACAAACCAACTGTGATCTTGGGCCAGACACATTCTTTCATCCCTAGAAAGGAGGCAATGACAAACCAGTTCTGAAAAACCTTGCCAAGAAAACTGTAGGGACTTCTCCATGCAGCCTCTAACAATTAGACACAATTGAATAGAAGAAGAAGAAAAACTACTTTTTTGGAATGGAATGTCAGTTGTATGATGTCTGAGGTTATTTTCCAAATAATTTGTGGACTTTTCTGACAATCAGCAATTATCTTAAGGTTCTGCTATTTTTGTATTGATGATGTTAAAGAAAATATATTTTAAGTTAATCTAACTAAAATCAATATTACGATTTAGTGAATCATTTCTGGTAATGGAATTTGAATTGCCGTTGCTCTCAAATCTCTTGAGCAGATTTTGAGGGGAGGCAGGAAGGAAGAGAGGATTCAAAAATGTTGTGTGAACAGAACTTTTTGTTGCTAAATTCTACCCAAGGTTTTTGATCTTAAATTCCCAAGTGTAAAGTGCTAGTCAACTACTAGGCTTGTATTATCAGTAATGTTAAATGTTAAGTAAGAGGATATATCTATAATTTGTGATGTCCTGATTGTTTTCTTTCTTTTTAAACATTTCATGAATGTATGTGTGTGTGTGTGTGTGTGTGTGTGTGTATATGTATATATGTGTGTATATATATATATTATATATATAATATATATATATATATATATATATATATATTATTGGAAATAAAAACAAAAACATGACTCTTGGGAATATTCATGTTAGTCAAATAGTAATGATCACCAAGAGAGTATCTATAAAAATAGAATTTTAATCCACCGAGCTTTCGTCAAACACAATTGACATCGTCAGGGTTAAAAGGTAAGTGCCGGGGGAGAGTCTTATATACAGCTGTTTAGTGTCTGCTTCCGGCTCCTGGAGCGTGTCATAGGCCCCAGCTGATCGGGTTGGGTCTCCAGCCTACATCCCACATTACTAGTCTGCATTCTGTCATAAGTTGTTTCAGAATTGGGAGTCCAGATCTTTTTGCCTTCCTTGCTCATAGCCTCCCCCCCACCACCATCCCACACACGACTTCCCTCTACGAGTGGGGGTGGGCAATTATCACTTTCAGTATCCTTACAAGCCTCACGGCTATTTTGGTCTTGTTTATCCGTCTCCCGGAATTGTGCCCTAGATTCATAACCCCCGCCCATATTGTTCCTCCTCCCCTCCTTCTTCCCCTGGGTTCCCCTGTACGGTCCGCTGTTCGTTCCCACACGCTCTGTCTTGCGCACCGTCAAGATGTTTTTTGTCGTTGTCCAACCGGGGGACCTAACGCAACTCATTGAGCTATGTCTTACAACCTACTTCTCCTTTCAAGGGAATATATATGAACAGGTCAAAGGTACACCGATGGGCTCCCCAATATCCAGCGTGGTGGCAGAAGCGGTTCTACAACAATTAGAACACGAGGCTATGACCCGTCAACAGCCCAAGTTTTGGGCACGGTACGTTGACGACACTTTTGCGGTCGTCAAACGAGACCATTTAGCCGGCTTTATGGGAGTATTAAATTCAATATATCCGGACATTAAGTTTACGTTGGAGGAGGAGGTCCGGGGCTCGATAGCCTTCTTGGACGTACTGGTCCAACGTTCCCCAGATGGAACTCTAAACACCAAGGTCTATCGGAAGCCCACTCATACGGACCGCATCCTCCATTTCCATAGTAATCATCCGGCCTCCCATAAAGCCAGCTGTATTAAGACCTTGTTCAAACGGGTACAGTCGCACTGCAGCACCATGGAAGCTAAGGCAGAAGAAAGAAAACATCTATTCCGCATATGCCGAATGAATGGGTATCCCCCGAGGTTTATTAAGCGACACAGTATGGCACCCGGACTACATAATGGACAATCAAGAGAGGACCTCCAGACACGGGTCACACGCGTGTCACTACCGTACATCAGAAACGTGTCAGAGGCTACAGCCAGGCTTCTGGCACCCCACAACATACAGGTAGCCCACAAACCCACCCAAACCATACGAGCTAAGGTGATGCGCCCCAAAGATCAGCTCCCCACCGCCGAGAGATCAGCCATAGTTTATAAAATCAACTGTGCGGATTGCCAGAGTAATTACATAGGCGAGACCTCGAAAAGACTTAAGACCCGCCTACATGAGCATAGGCTAGCCATTAGACGGGGTGAACAACACTCCCAGATTTGGGCTCATGCAGTAGAATACGGCCATCGTTTTGATTTTGAGAATGCCCAAATCTTGGCTAATGATATCACAAAAAGAGGCCGCTTATTAAAAGAGGCATGGTTCTCAGAAACTGAATCCATCAATAGGCGTGTGGATTTGTGTGCAGCACACCAGGCTCTGAAAATATGGAATGCTGGTAGCCGCATTAACCGGGAGAGGGGACTTAATTCAAAGACTTACTATCCAGAAGACATCGCTCGACCCCCCTCCTCATATAATCACATTAATGCAGCCCCCACTGATGGCCCCCCCTTCTTGGAACAACTACAGACCAGTCCTGGCAGACAACTGCGGACGGATTCGCCACGATCCGTAGAGAACGGAACAGCATGGAGATGGAATGGAAATGGATGGGGATTCGAGAAACTGGAAGAAAAACGGAATACAACCAGGTCCGGTAGAGATGAGGAGAACGACGATGAACCCCCCCATGAGGAGGCTACCAGACACAGCATGACAACTCGATCGCAATCCAGCAGGAGAATGCACCCCCCTTCGACACCCCCAGCGCAAAGTTATGGGATGAAACAGCGACTACAATTAAAGGGGAAGAGCACCGTATGGAGTGGGAATGGAGAACCAAGGACGGACGGTAACGTTGCCCACCGGCAACGGATGGAACAATGAGCCACTGACAATAGGACAACGACAAAAAACATCTTGACGGTGCGCAAGACAGAGCGTGTGGGAACGAACAGCGGACCGTACAGGGGAACCCAGGGGAAGAAGGAGGGGAGGAGGAACAATATGGGCGGGGGTTATGAATCTAGGGCACAATTCCAGGAGACGGATAAACAAGACCAAAATAGCCGTGAGGCTTGTAAGGATACTGAAAGTGATAATTGCCCACCCCCACTCGTAGAGGGAAGTCGTGTGTGGGATGGTGGTGGGGGGGAGGCTATGAGCAAGGAAGGCAAAAAGATCTGGACTCCCAACTCTGAAACAACTTATGACAGAATGCAGACTAGTAATGTGGGATGTAGGCTGGAGACCCAACCCGATCAGCTGGGGCCTATGACACGCTCCAGGAGCCGGAAGCAGACACTAAACAGCTGTATATAAGACTCTCCCCCGGCACTTACCTTTTAACCCTGACGATGTCAATTGTGTTTGACGAAAGCTCGGTGGATTAAAGTTCTATTTTTATAGATACTCTCTTGGTGATCATTACTATTTGACTAACATATATATATATATATATATATATATATATATATATATATATATAT